CTTTCATAATAAAAGACAAGTTGAATAATGCATATCTATGAATAATGTATATCAGAGGGGAATCCTCAGGGCCTTTAACACCTTCAGAGAAGGCCTAAGAAAATAAGAAGAGAAAAATCTCTTATTTAAATTGATTGTAACTTCTATCATTTAGACTTATAAAACTTAATTGTCATTTTCTAAAAACATTGTGTACAAAATGACATTTTGTTTAGTACAGCTTTTAGACAGCAAATGCACATTTCCATTTCATAAAGTGCAGCAGTGATCAAATGTAAACAGTGTGGGAGAAAAACATGGTGCAAAAGACATTAATGTGGCAGATGGATTCATTTCCCCATTGTGGCACAATAAAGGATTTACATTAACTGTATGCTAAGATATGTCCATCATTTGCCTTTAACTCAGACAAGGATACTTCGTGACTGTTAACTAATTGTGATGTATGTCTTTTATTCATTTTAATTTATATTGATTAAGAAAGATAGAAACATTTAGCTCCTGTCCCACACCAAGATCAGGTTTTATGCAACTTTTGCTTTGCTCTAGAATGACTCAGGACCTTGTTGCCTTCAGAGGTCCTTCAATTAGATGGTAATATTAATTAGAAGGTTAAAACAGGGTGTTCGTGCTCAGATTGGCCGAGAGCTCTGGTTTTTACAACCTTATAGATAAGGTTGGGTTTTCTGGTGGATTTTCTGAACAATTGGTAACTGTTGATGGATGGTTCATCCATGATGAGTGGTCACACTTAGGAGGCCTTAAGGTGGAAGTATGAATAGAATACATACTACTATTTTTTGTGATAAAAATAGTAATTATGTTATGTTAGCTTGTGTGTTGCATCTTGCCTATTATAATGAGATGGATAACGACATTTGAATATAGGCTTAGGTTACCTAGTCAAATGTAAATTAAAATTATGTGCAAATTTAAACAACCTTTATTAAATTAGATGAAACCCCAAATTGTAGTTAAATGCTGAAACTGTGGTCTGGAGTGATGACATTTTGTGGCAAAGTTTTGATTGTGATTACTTCTGATCCCTGATTAATGTAATAATCAGGGGACTGTTGAGTGCTTATTACATGTTTCTATGATGTTGAGAGAAACAGTGCTTAAGGTGTTTCCTTCTATTTCGATATTGGGGTCATAAACATACTGGAATGGGTTTTTGGACATGTTTGGACATGTTTAAAGGTTACTTTAAAAATGTCACCAACAATCTAAGAGTTGCACAAAAGTCAGAAAATGAAACATAATTAGGTGCAGAGTCAGGGGTCTATATGTCCCAATCACACTCCTACAGGTACCAGAGTAATTTCCGAACAGAGTGATGAATTACTTTAGTGAAATGAGGAAGTCGCCAGGAGAGGAGGTGACCAACTATGGTACTCTTAGCCAATGATTGGTAGATAGGCAATTAAAGCCCTCTCCTTTGCCCAAAGTGGTAAGGATGTGAACCTCTTATCCATTGGGGTTACACTAATAGGAGATAGCTGAACTTGAGAAAAATATTTAAGTATATTCTCCCCCTGTGGTCCACTCCAGAGTAAAAAAGAATCCAGCCGGTTTAAGGAACCAGGTTTCAGAACCCAGATTGTGTGTGGAGGTGGGCCCAACTATTTCTAGCTGGTTTTTCAGTATTTCAGTCAGTATTTTTAAAGCCCTTTACTCGTATTCGTCATTTCCTGTTTCATTAGTTAGCTTCGTATTAAACATCATTAGACATCTAACAATAAAAAAGACATATTTCTAAGATTTCTGGAATTAGTTTGGCACTTTTGTGATTTTGCTAACATTTGATAATGTGCTAAAAATGTGCTATTTGATAATGTGCCAATTGATAGTTTATCTGGGTCAAATACCTTCTGAAAATTTAATTAATGGTTAAAAGAGATCAAATTAAACCTGGTCAGCTTCTATTTCATTCTTGTAAAGCTTATCTGTATGCATCTACAAGGAAGTGACACAGAAATTAGGAGGATGTAAAAGGAATGAGAAACTCTAACCCAAGCTTATTTGGTTACAGATAAATGGTCCCAAAACCGGTCTGTTTTCCTTGAATATCTGCAATTACTGAAAAAAAAAAGAAACAAAACAAGAAAACCTTGGTGGTACAATGAAATAGTAAATGGAGAATACTTTGGGTGAGAGGAGCTTTTTTTCAAAGAAGTTCAATTACAGCTAACACTTTTGTGGAAACAACAAACCCAACTTTTTGTAGCTCTGAAATGAACAGACAGGCACGTTTTTTTTTTTTAAGACTGGCAAATTCTTTCTTTTTTATTAAAGACATTAGACACTTCATTGAGTTATGAGTAAAACATGAACTTTAACAAAAATGGTTACCCCACTTCAGAGATCTTACCTGAACATTTTACAGTCTTGTGCATTCTAAATGAACAGACAGTAAGTAGAATAAAACTAATGACAAATTTGCAGGACAATTACAAAGCAGTTCAAACAAAATACCTTGTATAGATCCTGAACTGACCACATTGCTGCAAGCAGTCTTCTTCATACTCAATTCAATTCAGTTTATTTATATAGCGCCGATTCACAACACGCAGTGTATTCTCATTATGAGTTCGTATGAAATCGTACGAAAAGTTATGCACCGTAATTTCGTACGTTTTGGATGTTTTTTTTCGTCATATGCGCATGCGCATCTGACGCACCATTCACGAATATAGAATATAAATTACAATTAGCCCTAACCCTGACCCTAACCCTAACCCTAAGATATAAAACAGCAAGCAACGTAGTTAG